AGTAGGTTTTGAATATTCAAATGCATAGTGAGTCCTGACTTGTTCCAATTTATAATTCAATCTCTGATTATTATTTTTTTTTAAAGAAAATGTTATTGATTTTCTAGTTTTACATTTAAATATTTAAAAAGCAACCTGGCGGCTGAGTTAATCGATAGTTCAATAACATACAGATATCTTTAGTACAGATCTCAAACTATTACATTAAATATTTCCTCTCTTTTCCCCTTAGTATTTACTGTCTCATGTTTAAACTAATACAATTCTTATTATATCGATTAAATAAAAATAACTTTCTTACATTTATCAATAATTTTTAGTTTATACATACCCTAGTTATTTTAACATTCAATCTTTATAGACAATCAATGTCCTAATTAGTTTTTCCCAATTTTTAGTTTCCCATTAATATTTAAATTTAACATTTAATATTTATAGTTTCCAAGTTTTAAATAACCCCAGTTCCCTTTATCACAATTCATCACAAGATCTAATGTTCAGGATGCATGTCTTATCTATTTGAATATATTCTATTTCTCACCATCTTACATCAACTAATTAATAATACAGTATAACATTCTTTTCTGTTAATTACCAAATATCTTAAATGTAATAACTAAAATTGCTCTTATTTCAACATTTAATATTTCCTCTCTTTTTCTCTTCATATCTATTATCTCATATTTAAGCTAATAATTTTTATTATTACAGCTAAGTAAAAACATATTTATTACTTTCATCAATAGATTTTTAGCTTTTATATATCTTAATTACCTTTACATTTAACCTTTATAAGCAAATCAATATTCAAATTTAACTGTTAATATTTATACTTCCAAGTTTTAAATGACCAAAGTTTTTTTTATCTCAGCTCCTAACAAAATCTAGTATTCAAAATACATATCTTGTCTGTTTGAGTATGTTCTATTTTAATTCTCACTGATAAATCAAAACCCCAATTTTCTTCAGTCTTATTCTAGCTTGCTTTCTTTGCCAAGTCGTCTTCCGTGTCCATGCTTTTAAGTCAACAAATAAGTCTCCCTGTGTTGTTACGTATGTTGTTTGAAGTAGAAAAAGCCATCTGGTCACCATTTTTTTTAAAGGACTAACAAATCGTCTCTCTATTTTTTAATCTTGATGTAGTTGTCCTGAACTGTTTATCTTCTCCTCAGTCTGTTCTTCTTCTTGATCCTCAGATTTCTTCTGGTTTATATAGAAAGTCTTTTCCCTTTTCCATATTATCAGTCCCTTTTCTGGGTTTTCCATTAACTGTGTTTGTTGATCAGTTGAATCTTCTCTCATAGTATTTAATTGTTCCACTTCTTCTACTATATTCTGTGTAGTTTATTTTTTAGTTGTAATCAAAGTTTGGGTTTGTATATCTAGGCTGACATCTTGTTCTTTTCTGTAACTTCTTATTTNATTTCATCAGTAGCTGTAAGAATAGTTTCATAAATTGCTTTCAACATAAAGAATCTGTTCCTGATCTTCTTACATGTTCTCTTAGTAGTATGTTAAGTTAAAAGCTTTACAATCAGAGAATGCAAAAAAAATGTCACTGAGTATAGAACACAGCTGGGCTTCTCGCAGCTGATATCTGTCAAGGTTACAAAAGTCTTATCTATAGTCTGGGCTACCAGCCAAGTCTCTTTTAAGCAATAACAAGTTGTAATATCAGGTTTAGCCACAGGATGTCACCCATACCATTTAGAGTTTTCTTTTAAGTCCAAAATTTTTATAATCTTTTCAGCTTTACTTCTTTTTTGTAAGTAAAAACCCAGATCTTCAATAAGAATAAAAAATCTTTTATTCCACAAATTTTAAAAAGATAAAAATCCAATTAGAACCAAGTTATTCTTGCAACATTTGAAACTCCCCTAGATAGTCAGTTGCTGCTGTTTTTAGAGGGAGGGATAGAATCTCCCTTCCCTCGCCATAGGGGGGAAAGTACTTTGAGCAGCTTATGCAGGTAGGAAAAATAGGATTTAAGAGAGGTAGATCTCACCCAGTCTCATCCACGCTGCTTTATAGTTGCCTGATGGTAAATTTGATTTCGGCTATCTGCAGCCTAGTGACGAGCCATATTTCTATGGCCGGTCTTTTGTACGCCGGCTTGGAGGGCTGCCCCGGATTGAGCAGAAGGGCTACCACCCTCCTGTGATCAAACGGGAATCCCCTCCTTGCTGGTCGCCCCTACAGGGTGATTTTCGACCCTTTCCAGGGTCCTCCAGCAGTGCGAAATCGGAATTGGAAGACGGAACTTGCCTTCCAAATGTCTGTGATGGTTGCGTCGGCAAACCAGAAGTCCTTCAATCTCTGATTATTTAATTTACATTATCTTCACATGTTCATTCTGCATGCCCAAATATCCAAACAACACTTACACATACACATATGTTATTGCTCAAATATTTATATTACTCTTAAATTATGATTGATGTTTTTCTCTACATAAAACATCAATAATAATTTAAGGGTAGCATGTTTGAACAATAATGTTTTCTTCTGAATTTATAAAATTGGATTTATAACATAGTGAGCAAATTATGAAATTGTAACTATTTCTTTTTTTTTATGAACAATTATTTACTAATGACTGCTGATACTTTTTTTCCTTTCTTCCATTTTCTAATACAGGAAACATTTATCTCTATATTCATAGAAGTTTTAATACTGTTATATTATTAAGTTTATATTTATCAATAAGTTCTCTGTTAAATTCAGAGGAGCAAGGGACTGGCAAAACTTTAAATATTTGTTAAATGTACTGCATTATTAACTTTATATCAGCTTTCCCTGTCCTACCCCTAAAATTCTGGCTGCAGTTTTAATATTTGACAGTCAGCATGGCTAAATGGTGACTGGGTACCCAATTATTTTTGCTTCAAATTCATATCTAATTCTTCCATTATCAACATTCATTGAGACATAACATACAATTCTTTGTGTATTTCTACTTCTATATGCTTCCATTATAACTTTGATACCATTCATAATCAATATTTATAACCATACATTTTTTAAAAAAATGAAGTATATTTATCATTATAACTATTCATGAAATCAGTTCCATTCCACAATATCGAACCACTATCAAATCTATCACATTTTCCCCTTTATTTAATTTCAGTCAAGCATCATATACGTATTTCTTTCTTTCCTTTCATCCATTTATTTGTGGTTTTATTTTATTACCGGTTCCTTTTATAAAGCAAGTTGCAGTCTTCCATATGCTTCGGTCATCACTAAATGTGAGAGTAGAGATTGACTTCTACATCTCCCACCATGATTTTCATCAATGAGACTTTCATGCAACATAATTTAGTAAGATAATAAATCAGCTAGGCACCATACTTAGGGCTGATCTGGCCAGATTGCTCCAGTGAGAACATGGACTATGAATCATTTCTGGAGGGCAGAAGCACCGATTGACTTCTACCCACCCCAGCCCATTGGAAAGGCAATCTTGGCCTATCTTTTTTCTGCTACACATCAAAAATTGTGTTTTTTTGTCTTGCACTGGCTCCCACCATGCTGTCTAGCCACCTTATTATACTCTCCTCTCCCATCCCTGGTCATTGCCCTCCCTGACCATTTTGTCCTGGGCTAACTGGAATGCCTCTCCATGTCTGGACCAGTGGGCCTTTCTGGTTGTTTCTACAAGTCCACTTGTGGCACAACGAAAGGCTTTTTCCTTCTCCTCCTCCAAATTCTTTGACAGAATGGCAAAACTGTGATTATTTCTACAAAAAAGATATCAAGGGAAATTAGCAAGATTGATGCCAGTCTCACCCAAGTGAGAGGAAGAATAGTAAAAACGTGTTTTCTTCTTTTCTGTTTCTATGACATTACTTAGCTCTGGGCAGCGATCCGGATTCGATTTTGAGTAGACTTTGAGATGCTCTTAACACCCGTTGGGAATATCTGAAATCAAAAGCATTCCCCCCCCCTTCTGGAGAATGTGTGCCAATTACTATGGAAGGAAGCCGCAGGAGCCCAGAAAAAGAATTGCTGTGTTGAAGGAAAAGTCTTTATCATGGTTCAGTCCAAGCCGGGAATAAACAACATGGCAACTGCTTTAGAAAGAAGGTTGCAGTTTATTGAAGAGGAGAGCCAGATAGAAAGATGGCTCTGGAAGAAAAGAGAGAAGGCATTATGTAGGGAGTGGGTTTTTATACCCTCTGGAGCCTTTTGTTTGGACTTGTTCCTGTGGCACAAACTTTGACCTGAGTCTGAGTGTGCCTTTCTGGTATTCTGATGGTGGTGGGTTAATCCTATTATGTCCCAAAGATCATATCCTGCTTCTCTGGGGCTGTGGCTGATGACTGTAAGATTTTTGGTGTGAGGGGTTGTTAATTCTAGGGATCTTTCTTCCTAATCCGTTTCCTGACTCATCTTTCTGACAAGATTATCGCATCTGCATTTCTGCAGACTTGGTTTCTATTTGGGACAGAGAGACTTGAGGGGTGGGGTTCTGCCTTTAAATCATTTAGGGAAATATATGCTGTCTTTTAAATATTTCCAAAAAATATGTCTTTCTTTGGGGGGGGGGGCTGACTTCCCACAGCTGTTTTACGTTCTTCCCAACAGGCTACACTGCCAGTGTCAAATCACATTTTTACATTTTGAAAAACAGCCCTAACAAAACTTCAATGCATACACAATATGATCCTCAGCACTAGCAATTGATACTGGAGACTTTCTCTATATAGCCGAGCAAGCCCGTTTCCTGTAGAGAAATGATCTCCTGGCTCTTTAAGGCGCCACTCCCCCTGACGAAGAAAAAAATAAAACATTTTCTTTTTCAATAGCGGGGACCGGGAGGCAGCACGCATGCGCGCCGAATCCATCTACGCAAGAGGAAATCTGTGTGGTGGACTTTAGGTGATACGTCAAGACGCGGAGCACGTACCAGGGGGGCGGGGTTCCCGGGGTAGAGCAGGGTCCGCGCGGAGCCTCCCGGGCAGCGGGGAGGGGGAGACCCCCGCGCCCCGCCAACCATGTTCCGCTACCAGGTGAGAAGGGGACGGCAGTGCACGGTGGGGGCTGCCGGTCTCCCGCGCAGGCGGGGCCTCCTCCTCCTCCGCCGGGAGGGGAGGCGGCCAGGGGCCACCCTTGCGGTGACCTTTGACCCGTCGCGGGAGCTCCCCGGCATTTGCGGGGCAGAGGCTGGATCTTACCAGCCGAAAGTCCCCTCTGCCCGCCTGGGGGGCGATTTAGCCCGGCCTGGCCAGGCAGAGCAGCCCCGGGAGCAGAACTCTAGGGTGGGGGTGGCGGCACCGGGCTTCTTCTCTTGGTCCTTTCTTTGCTTCATGCGAGTTCCGGTCGGCGGTCTCATCGCTGCGCACCAAGGTGGCAAAGGCAGAATAGAATCTAACTCAGGGGTAGGCAACCTTGGCTCTTTTATGACTCGTGGACTTCAACTCCCAGAATTCCTGAGCCAGCTAAGCTGGCTCAGGAATTCTGGGAGTTGAAGTCCACGAGTCATAAAAGAGCCAAGGTTGCCTACCCCTGATTCTAACTGGAGTGCGGCCGATGCTTTCGGAAGAAGGCTGGTCGCTTCTCCAACTCTGGGCAGCCGGGTTTCCGCATCACAAAATGTAGCTTTGCTGGAGCTTCTTTTGGTTGGCCGGGGCCTTTTAGAGAGATTGCCCGCTCTCTCGTATTTCCTGTTCCCGAGGGACTGATAACTTTAAAACACGTGGAGCTGAATGAGAGACCCCGGCGTGAATTCCGGCATAGGCTTTTATTTCCTTTTCTCCTGAGAAAATTGCTGGAGGGGAACACAGCTAGATGTAATCCACGTAAATTAATATGTTGTGACCTAGTGCTTCAGGATTGGAAGGCAAGGGAGGTTTTGGTTTGTGGGGAGGAAAATCTACGGATTGGGAAATGTGGAGATGAGGAGTAATCTCGTAGAAGTGAAGGTATGCAACTGGCCAGTGCCTCGAAAAGTTCAATAATCTGAATTACAAATGTTGCTTAAGGATGATGTTTTATTACAGTGGTGTGGAAGTAATCTTTTGTCTGCACAGATGAGTAGGAAAATTGGACTTTTTGGAAGAAATGGACATTAGTTGATAATTCCATTATTGTTTTGATCTCTGTTTATATTTGGATGTTGCCAATGGAGGACAGGACTGATGCATTTTGAGACAATAGAATATGTTCCTCTCATTCTGAGCATTTAATGATGTTTATGAGAGTCAGACCTGCAGAAAAATATTACAGTACAGTAACCTTTGCAACCTGATGGACCTCCACACGAATCTATAGCCATCAGTGTTCCTAGTCAGCATAGCCAATACTAGCTAAAAAGATTAGGAGTTGTAATCCAAACACTGTAGGACAGGGGTCTTCAAACTTGGCCCTTTTATGACTTGTGGACTTCAACTCCCAGAATGCCAGGCATGCTGTCTGAGGAATTCTGGGAATTGAAGTCCATAAGTCATAAAAGGGCCAAGTTTGAAGACCCCCTGTTGTAGGACTAGGCATAATGGATTAGCTTGAAGTGACAACTTGAATGCTAGAATTTTGTTTGGTGGTTCAAGCATGACTGTTGAGGATGCAAATGTATGATATGAAGCTCTTTTCTCTGCCCAATTTAATGGGCTAAGCTCCATGTAACACTTAATCTCCATTTTACTTCAACTTCAACTTTAGTCTTCCCCATAACAAAGTCTACACCTGGGATCATATACTAACTCATGTTTGAAGACCTGATGAACAGAAGGTTGTTTAGCACAATGTACTAAACTATAAGGTGAAAAACATAACATTTGTAAGAGACAGCAGTCACAATAGATTCAGCATTGTCATTGTTTCCTATATATTTGGAGAGGATAACTTTCCCCATGGTTATGTGTGCCTATGAAAGGTTTAGCCTATGCTTTAGAGATTTCCAAACTTTCTCATTTACACACCCTTAGTGTCTCAGTAATTTTTGACCCCTAGGTCAAAAGACTGCCCAAATATCCAGCTTTGGAAATGTATGTTGCAAACATTTAATGTCCTGTGGCACCCCAAGTGCCATGTCACATAGTTTTGGAATCATGGCTATAGTTATTGTTTGCTTACTATTTTAAAATTATGAGAAATGACTAGTTTTTGGCAATGTAGTGTGGATGTGCCCACATGTGACTTTGGCTTCAGGCTGTGCACTGTAAATGTATGGCTGGGTTCATATAACTCACTAATTCATAGTAAATCACATACTTAATCTGTATTTCTAGAATTACTAAAGTGGTCCAGGCCACATAACGCCTTTAGATAGTTCAGGTATAATTTTCCAGATCAGTCTAAGAACATGAATTCATGATCACTTAACTTATTATAATTATGCTTAAAATTCCATTAAGCATTTTGTACTGTAACAATGACTGTAAAAACAAGGAGATGAGTGTGTGTAATCACACCCTTGTTTTTACACTTTCACTCTTTTATCTCTCTCTGTGTATAATTGAAGAAATAGTTACTATAAGGAGTAGCTGAAAGCATTCTAAACTGGTGGCATTAATAAAATTGATCCATTTCCCATTAAATAAGAAAGTGAAAGTTGCATTGTTCTCCCCATTCCATCATTTCTTTCCCCTTCTCCTTAGCTTCTCTGCAGTAGAACATTACTCTTTTTATATATGAGAAATAAAACAGTCTTTGGACATTTTAGGCCAAAGATCTAGAAATGTTTTGGTAGATAATGTAAGGAAAACTTGCAGAATAAATAATCAAATATTGGCAATGTGGTAAATAGCTGTTTTTCTTTGAAGAAAGGCAATTTTGTACATTGTGGATTATCTTTATTCTGCCTTTAAAGCAGACCTTTAACGTTTTACATTATAGTAATACACACACATGCACACAAACCCTTAATTTCATTATTGTACTCAATTCTGCAATCATAGGCTGATCCTGGTCTCCAGGATAAAAGCTAAAAAAGAACTGCTTGCTGTATATTAACATGCATATAAGCTATATTTAACTCTTTCACAATATAATATTTAAGATTTAATAGGACAGTTAATTGAACTGAGTACATAAAGCACATATGAAGTAATTGCTTCATTCATGGCAAACTCCTACCTGATTTGTTCCTTGTAATAATTTAAATTTCTGTACAAGCTAAGGATAAATTCTTCATTCTCATTTTCTTTTGGGGGGAGATTGTTATGATTTGAAAATGAAATATATTTTAATCTAAATATATCTTGAATTGAGTCATGATTGCAATCCTTCACTGCATGAAACAGATGTGCCTTGCTAAAATAAGGAAGTGGAAACATAAAAATATTAAATATACAAATGTATTTATATAGAATGATTCTCTTGGGGAGAACAAACTATCCAACTATCAAGTTATACAGGGAATTAGTTTAATTGATGCATTGTACTGAAATATAGTTTATTTAATAATGGTTTGTAGAAGCCATAGTTGACAGGGTTTGCACATTGTGCTAAATTATATATTATGGATTGCAAACCACAATTGTTTTGGTTCATACACAGTGTTAAATCAAACCCAAATAAACAACATTGTGGTTAGTAAAATATGTGAATCCAGTTTGTTACTTAGCATGATATATGAATTTAATGTTCAGTATGGCATGGTAGTTAAGATTCAGGCCTTGGGCCAGACAAACCTATATTCAGGTTCCTGCTCAGCCGTGGAAAATCACAGGGTGATTTGGGGCCAATCATTGTTGTTCAGCCCAGTTTATTCTACAGAATTGTTGTTGGGGCAGAAATTGGAGAAAGGTTTGCTATGTATGTCATCATGAGTTTCTGAAAAAAAGGGGCAAGATATTAATCTAAAAATCAAAAGCAAGAGACTTTTGAACCTATATGTTGTAATGCAACATCTGGGTTCATGCATCACGCTAAGCCATAATATGGTTTCTTTGATTTTGACTTTGCATGTTGGATGAACTCATAACTGTCATTTTTGAATTATAGTTGGTAATGTTTTTTATGAATCCATCCAATTATGCCTTATAATATGTGAACCCAGTCAATTTTCCAGAACTATCATTATTCAGGACCTGTGACCCTCCAAGTGTTGTTGACTGATAGCTCCCAATTTACCTGACCATTGACTTTACTGGGCAGGGCTGCTGGGAGGTGTAGTTCAGCCCCCCCCCCCCCCCCGTCATATACTCTTCTGAATTCTGATATAAGACCAAATTATTTTCCAAGCAGGAAATCTATGACGTTTCCTCTGCACAGTGTTTGCCATAATTGTTTAGAAGATGTGCTCCATGCACATATATACATGCACAAACACATACAGTATATACATATGCTAACTTCCTGGTACCCACGAAGATTTTATTTTTGTATGCATATTAGGAATTGATGATGTAATATTACAACATAGAAAGGAGTGAAATATACTTAGTAAAGTTGCAGTCATATAGATAATAATGAAATTAAAAGGGATTAAAACAATGACTGGGCCCATATATCATACAATACTTTAACGTGTCTTGTTTTGGCCTACCAGTATATGGTATATCAATCAATCAGTATCTTGGCAAAATGTTTTTCCCAAGGAACCCAAAATCATTAACCTCTTATGAAATGCCACTTTTTTCTAATTTGCAACATAAGGCAGCCTTCCCCAATAATAGATCCTACAGTCTCAAGCCTTACTATGCTGGTTGGGGATGATGGAGCTACAGCTCAACACATGGAAAGTACCAGGTTGGAAAAGGCTGCCAAAAAGTAGCTGTCAGTTAGGCAGTATGGATTTAGATATTTTTTTCACTAGGTTCATTCCTAGTTATTCTTGATTATAAATTATCCGATGATAGCTGCATATTCTTTGGAAGTGCAGAGATAGGATCTCAACTTGTGAAATTATAGGTCTTGGGGTTCCAGTTTTGTTTTGTTTTGGGGGGAAACCAGTTTCTAGACTTTCTTCTAGAATAATATTTTTGGATTCCTGCAGAAGTGGGCTAAACTCACTAAGATTTTCTTCTATTTTAAGTCCCTTGAGGACTGCCCTTTGGATGGAGATGAAGAAGCTTTTCATAATTTGACTGAGGAAGATGAGGATATTGATCAATTCAATGATGACACATTTGGAGCTGGGGCGATTGGTGAGTTCATATAGCTAATATACCCTGACTTTTTATTTCTGTGACAGAGGTTCTCTAATACCTTCTGCCTAAGCATGTAACATCATAATTTCAGGTAAACAGTCTCATGTGTTCTCCACGGAGTAACTTTTAAATTGGTTCTGTGTTCATTTCTGGGGAAGCCCCTTTCTATTCCAAGGAGATGATCTTCTGCCTGAGAGATTAAAGGCATAACATGAGGAGTGAGGGAATACTGTATAGGAGAAATGTGAGGGAAATGCTGTTCATGTCATTCCTTTGTAGACGATGACTGGCGGGAAGCACATGAAAGATTGGCTGAGCTGGAAGAAAAGCCTGCCTGCTCAACAGAGCAAGTGGATCACAGGGTTACCGACGAGATGGACCTGTTGGGTGATCATGAGGAAAACCTGGCAGAGAGGCTTAGCAAAATGGTGATTGATAATGAATTGGAAGATCCAGCCATTATGCAGGCTGTGCAGACTAGGCCTCAGATACAGGTGTGTAGCAAGTGATGAAAATGATGGGGGAAATCTTTTCACAGTAAAGTCCTTTCCGTAATTTTTTGTACCTTTCTTTCCAGCAGCCAGGTGGCCTCAATTCAAGCATCTGGGATGGGCCCTCAGTTTTGAGGCGCATGAGAGGACCACTCCTCACTCAGGTTCAGTGCTCTTTTTATTGTGTTTCTGAATGTCAAGCATATTAGTTTTTCCATTCAGGTGTCTGTCTTTCCTTATTTCCACCACATAATGTTCAAGAGCTATGTAGGAGCCATTTGGCTGATGAAGGATCTGATTTTAATCAAAATGCTATCATAACTGGGGATGGCCAAAGGATAGAAAGAAATCTCTATTGTTGAGGTTTTGCAAAAGGAACAAAGTGCCCTAAAGATCATAACAACATGTCATATCTTATCTCTTTGTTTCATCTATCGATAGTCCAGGTGGAGCAGCTAGAGACTTTGGAGGGCAGCCCTTGCTAAATATTTTGGCACCTTAGATCAGGGGTCCCCAACCTGTGGCCCGTGGGCCAGTAGTGCGCCATGGCCTACTGGCCACTGGGCCGCGGGACAGGCTGGCCAGTGCACGCGCATGTATGCACACACACCCCCACTTGCACTAGCGCCGCAGCCCCAGGATGCAAAAACGGGATGCCACGTGCGTGAAAACAGGCCAGTGCCGCACCTCGGAGCGCAAAAATGGGGCGCTGAACCATGCAAGAACAGGGCAGGGCTAGCGAGTATCACGCAAGCGCTAGCCCCACCCCATTTGCATCACGCACATGCTCGCAGCCCCATGTGTACACACCTGCATGTGTGTAAAATGCTTCCCCCTCCCTTTCCCTCCGGTCTGCCAACCGAGAAAGGTTGGTGACCTCTACCTTAGATGTTTGTGGTTAATCAGACTGATGGCTTGAATTAAAGCATTTTAATAGATTATCTAAAACTTTCTGCAAAAATAAATTACAGATAGTTGTCAACTTACAACTGGTCATTTAGTGACCATTAGAAGGTACAACAGGCCTTGAGAAAAGGACTTAAGACCTGGATTTGAAATTCCAACATCTGCACCCCCGTCTCCTGCGCTCATGTGACCACATTTGGGCATTTGGCAGCCAGGCCCATTTACAACCATTTCCCATAGTCACATAACCACAATTTATGATTTTGTCCCCCCCCCCCTCGGAAATCACCATTTACAGGTAGTCCTTGATTTACAACCATTTGTTTAGTGACTGTTTGAAATTACATTGGCACTGAACAAAGTGACTTATTACTGTTTTTCACTCAACCATTGCAGCATCCCTGTGGTCGCATGATCAAAATTCAGCTGCTTGGCAACTGGCATATATTTATGACGGCCGCAGTGTCCCAGGGTCATGTGATCCTCTTTTGTGACCCTCTGACAAGCAAAGTCAATGGGGAAGCCAGATTCACTTAACAACTGTGTTACTGACTTAACGACTGCAGCGGTTCACTTAACAACTATGGCATGGAAGGTCATAAATTGGAGCAAAACTCACTTATCGGCTGTCTTGCTTAGCAACAGAAATGTGGGGCTCAATTGTGGTAATAAGTTGAGGACTACTTGTACTAGGCTCATTGAGCAACCACCACAGTTGAGGTCGTAAAATCAGTTGTGGTCACGTGATATGGCCACTTAACAAGCGTCACTACTTAACAACCAAAATAGTAGGCTTAAATCAAGGACAACCTGTAAAAAAATGTTAAAAGTGAGTTTTTAACATTTAGATTAGACAAAATTTGTTATCAGAAATGTAATGACCCTTGAAATGAGGATTAAAGGAATTTCATGCTGGATAGTTTGTACCATCCTTTCAGAACTTGGTACCCCATTCAGTTAGCTGACAGACAATTATGGGAGTGAGATCTAACGCATCTGGAAGGAGGAAGCTGGAAGATAGAAAGACCACTTGTCAGTACATGCTAGTCTTTCTGCTTCTGCTTACAGATTTGTTCTTCTAAATTCGATGAGGTGTTTATCATCCTCTGTCTCTCTCGTTCTCTTTCTCTAAAGAACTGTTGGCACAGATGGAAAAGTATCTGATGTTTCTTACAATCTAGTATCTAAAACTGCATGTGCTATGTTTATTTAACAAGAATGTCTCTCCTCCACCGTTAATTCTTGCTTGATACACAAATACTTCAGTTTACTGTTTGGCAGTCACTAGTCTACCTGCTACTTGAGAAAGATATTAATTAAGCAGTATTTAAAGGGAATGCCAGATGTGTTTCTCTCCTGTTCAGGAAGTGCCCTCCGTATCAGTGCTGGAATATGCCCTACCACAGAGGCCTTCGCAGTCCCGAGAAGAGGAGCAAGATGTCTCAGAGCGAGCACTACCCAGGCGGTCATGCTCCCCTGTTATCGGCAGTCCTCCTGTTAGGGCTGTTCCTATTGGGACGCCCCCTAAGCAGCCCACCATGCCCAACTTCAACCAACAGGTATTGTTTGCCCCTTCTGCAATAAAGGTGCATGGATCTAGGTTAGAGGATGCTTAAAAGAACAGAATAAAGTAGAATGCAATATAAAAATTGATAGCATACCCTGAATGCTAGCTCTCCCTTCGGTGGAGAATGTATTTCTTTTGGGACAGCTGTCAATGCCAACCTGAATCTTCCAGTCCTATTTCTTTTTTTTTTTTTTTTCAATATAAAATTTTTATTTTTATCATAAAANGACTTCCCAAACCAACCTAGGCTGATATTCAAATACAAGTAAACAAATATTAATATCTCTAACTCCAAAGTCTAAACTTAAACAATCCATCTCCTCCGTGTTAATAAAAATTATTCATTTAGTTAGTTCTTCAAATATCCAAAATCTTTACCATTTCAGCAAGATAGTTTAACACCATCCCTTACTTATACAAGAAAAGAAAAGAAAAAAAAAATTCCCATCTTCCATAAAGTTAACAAGTTAATTCTATCATTTCATAAAACTACCCTATAAAAAATCATTTGGAACCCTTAATAAGGGTTCCTATTTCCATTTGTGAAAGTAGCTTGGTACCTGGGAATTAAAGTTGGAACTGGCAGAAGCAATTGGTGGTAGAATCTTAAACAACTTGCCTGCGTGCTTATTCTTACTTTCTTCTCCTTTCTATCCAACAGATCCTATGTCCAAAGCCTGTCCACATCAGAGTCCCAATTCAGCAGCGTTATCCAAGTCCCTTCAGTGACAGGATGTCTCCGAACCAGCTCTGCAATGTAACGGTAGGCTTGCCTCATTAGTTCTACATGTTGAGTTGGCCTTTGATAATGAGCCTTGCCTCCCCTTGTCTCCTGGATCACTTGATCCTTCCAATGTTTCTGACGGTGGTTTCTCCTAAATGTAATCTTAAATTATATTATCACCCTGCCCTGTTTTGAAATAATAATAATTTCTGATCTTGAGCCAATTTAATTCTCTGTGAACAGCATCACAGCAGAGAGCATGTCAATGAAAGGAGATTCCCAGAGCAGTCTTCCTGCATGTCTAACTTCCATAACGTGGTGTCTTCAAGAAGAGTGGGACTTTTGGGAATTGTAATCCTATCACTTCGGAAAGCTATTAGTTTTGGGAAGATGGACATAAGTCTTTAGCTTTTCTTGCAAATAGGGAATATGGGGGAAAAAATACTCGTACCCGTGCTTTTATTTTTATAACAATTTATGGATAAAGACTCTCGGGTCTCTTACAATAAAGCTGTTGGCTTCAGAATTAACTCCATGCTAGTGGCTGTAAACCATACTTAGCCCTTCAGGGGTTTGTGATCTACAGATCATATTGACCATTCAATAAAGTATGGCACTCTGTTGTTACAAAATATTGCCTTTTTTATTGAATTGCTTAGCCTCTCTGTCTCTTTCCTCTTTCTTTATCCTGTCTGTATGATAGAAATAGTTGCTGTACTAGATATTTACAAAGTTTTAATTACATTTCCATTGTGGTGCTGCCCAAATTATTTTGGTATTTTAACATAATTCTGGTTAAATCACTGCTTATGTAAAACGAATAAGTGGTATTTCTGCTTCTCTATGATTGTTCAGGCATGTCTAGTTTTTGTATTGTTCTTTCTGCCCCTTCTGAATGTATCTAGAAGCAAACTAAATTTTACCTCAAGAATTCAAGTATTCCATTTCTTTTACCAGAACAACTCCCTCTTAGGCCATCCGTTCCCTCCTAATGTTACTCCTGTTCTCACCCACCTCCAGAGAGCACAGCTACTCGGAGGAGCACAGGTAAGCAACAGCTTACTACTCCTCATTTCCATTATTGGGTGCAGTGTTTTCTGCATGAGGAGCGGAACCTGAAATCCCAAACATGCATGAAACCCTGAATGTTTTGCTAATTGTATGTTTAAATTAAATCAGATTCATTGTGTATCCTGGCCTTGCCCTCTTTTTTGTCCTTTGTTTGTCTTCCTTTCTTACATGCAGCTTTCTTCCTGAAGAGAGCTATCTGCCCTTCGTTCCACTGGAATCTTCACTTCTGCTATACAAGTTCTTCCTCTTTGTATTTGCTGCTTGTGTCTCTGTCACTTCCTGATTCGTGCATTCAGGAACAGTGGAACTATTAATAAGTCTGTATGGCTGGTTGAAGATCTGATGCTTCTGCTTTCCCTCTCCACTCTGTAGGCAGGGAGGATGTCTCCCAGCCAGTTTGCACGGGTGTCTGGTCTTGTTGGCAGCCCTCTTGCACCCATGAATCCAAAACTGCTCCAGGGCCGAGTAGGACAGATGATGCCTCCAGCCGGTGGCTTTCGTGCCTTTTTTGGGGCACCGGCTACACCACCATCACAACACCACTCCCCATGTCCTGGAGCTCACTTGCAGAATCTACGGTAACCTACTTCTTCCACCATCCTTTTAACATACTGCTAGATTGAGCTGTGTTTGTGAACCCTCCATGGCCCTTTCTGAGAAGGATCTTTTATTCTCCAGACCTCGGCCACAGATGTTCAGGCCAGATACAACCCACCTTCATCCACAACATCGACGACTCTTACACCAGAGACAGCAGCAGAGCAGGAAGTGAGTATTCAGTATGCTGGTATGCTTTCATGAAGACAAAAGGAGAGCCTTGTTGCTTCCACAGTGCAAAGGGTGAGGTCAGAGCTCCATGTGCATCAAGGTGACACATTTTTGTGTCCCAAACAACTTGCACAGTTGCAGTGCAGTGATTGTGTTTATAAACATGTAAATCAAGAATTCCGGGAAGGGGAAGGGCTAGATCAGGGGTAGGCAACCTTGGCTCTTTTATGACTCGTGGACTTCAACTCCCAGAATTCCTGAGCCAGCATGGCTCAGCTTGGAAATCTCTCCCTTTCCCCTCAGCATAGCTGGCTCAGGAATTCTGGGAGTTGAAGTCCACGAGTCATAAAAGAGCCAAGGTTGCCTACCCCTGGTCTAGATAAAGCCCTATCATTAAAGCTAGGGATGGCAGAAGCAACTATGGGAAAGTGAATAATCTCTTTAAAAGCTGTATGAAAAATTTCAAAAATACATTGCAAGGAGAGAGAAAATCCAAAGGCTTAGAGTACTGTATTAGACAATCTGTAGACTTTG